GTGTGCAGTTGCTATGGAGCATAGACATCTCTCAAAAAAAAAAAAAACAGAATCATCACAAGATCCAGAAATAACATTTCTGAAATAACATTACATATCCAAAATAATTCAAATTAGGATCTTAAAGAGATATTTATACACCATGTTCACTGGGAGGATTGTTCACAATAACCAAATTTAGGAAATGACCTAAAAGTCCATCTATGGATGAATGGATGAAGTAAATGTGGTATACATGTATAACGTAGTATTATTTATCCTTAAAAGAGAAGGAAACCCTGCCATTTGAAACAACATGGTTAAACTTAGAGGGCATTATGCTAAGTGAAACAAGCCAGTAATAGAAGAAAGGACAAATGGTGCATGATTTCATTTATAAGAAGAATCTAAAGTAACCAAACTCATAGAAGCATAGAGTAGAATGCTGGTTGCCAGGAGATGGGGTAGGAGGAAAGAGGGAGTTACTGCTAACGGGTATAAAGTGTTAACTGTGTAAATGAATGATTCTGGATATACACTACACAATGTCGTGCCTACAGGTAACAGTGATCTATTACTATGAAATACTATGAAAACAGTACTTATTATGAAAGTATTATTAGGTAAGTATAACAAGTAAGTATTCTTAATAGACAGTATTAAGTATTAGTAAGTAAGTATTCTTTAAAACATACACACACACACAGAGGACAAAAGGAAACACTTGGAGGTGTTGGGTACGCTTATTACCTTGACTGTAATGATGGCCACATGAATGTCCAAACTCGTCAAACTGCATGTATTAAATATGTACAGGTTTTGGTATATCAATTAGGTTTTTTCAAAGTAATATCCCTTAGCAAAGTTTTGTTAATACATACAAAATTGTATAAACTTAATAATCTTTTCTGGGTTTGATCCCTGGGTTGGGAAGATTCCCTGGAGAAGGGGAAGGCAATCCATTCCAGTATTCTGCCTAGAGAATTCCATGGACTACATAGTCCATGGGGTCACAGTCGGACAAGTGAGCACATTTCACTTTCACTTTCTGAATCATATAATTCTAAAGATTCAAAATACAAATAATTTAAAGAAAATCATCATTAATACTTGGCACCTAAGTAAATATAAAAATTCTGATCATCTCTATAAATGTCTTACAAAATATTATTGCATATTAGAAAAATTAATAAATATAAAAATATTCCATATTTTAGGAGATGCATCTTTTTCAAAGCTATGTTCAAACACATACTTTTTAAACAGCAATATATATCTTTAAGTGTACAAAACGTAAATTTGTTTCCATATTTTCCAAAAACTTTTATATTTCATTATAACATGAGGTTAATCAAGTAAGATATAACAAAGTAAATAAAACAAACCACGTGGCTAGATGCTTTTAGGAAACTAAATTTAATAAATATAATAAAAATGTATTTTAAAAATAGAACTGATAAAGGAATGCAGCAGTATAAGGCAAATATAAAATATACAGGCATTGTATGAATTCCTTTTATATAATTAATTGAAAATACATTAAATAACTTGATTTGTAATTAGTCAAATTCAAAGATTTGAGAAGGGTAGAAAATTAGACTAATGGAGCATACTCGGAATAAAGCAACTATGGAACAAGTAAATTTATTCTAAATGCCATTTCATTTTAGTAATTTGAAAGTAGTCAAAACAATTCAAGTATAAGAGAGTTTATATACAGGCTGTTGCTGCAAAATGTGTATCTTTAGAATAATTAACATAAGATTTGATATTATTTCACTAATGTTTAAACTAAATTTTAAAGGGTAATATGCATTCTGGAGAATGGTTATATAACATATAGTCACTCTTGCATGACTAAAGGCATAAGAAAAGTGTAAAACTGGCCTTAATAATTACTGGATCTAAATTTAATTTTGAAAATAGTCAACCAATTACATGCAAAATATTTATGATAGACTAGTAGAATGGTTTTACTTATGAATGAAAAAATGCTGAACCAGTCTGAACCTTCAGTAGCCTTTCAGCCTGCTGTCCAAAAGCTCAGGCCTTGTCATTTGCTTGTGTTGTGCCAATGTCAGCATCTCTTTGGTATGGTATTCTCCATAGCCTTACGTCCTCTGCCCGTGCGCATTGCAGACTGTTGGTAATGAAGAAATGAGCACCTCCAGAGTTATCTCTCAACCAATCTGATGGAAATTTCTATGTACATACAATTACTCCCTGAAGACTGTATCATTTTGAGGTATGTGTTGTACACCACTTTTCAGAATTTCCCCCTTGAAATTAAGTTTCAGAGAGGGATAATGGTAACAGGATGGATAGTGCACCCATTACTACTGAGACCCCTTGCTTACCAACCTTTCCACTCCCATACTGATGTCAGCTACAACCCTCAAATCAAGTACTTTCACACATTTTCCCTTCTCTGGATCTAAATTTGGGAAAAGCCAAACCAAGATACAACTCCGCAGGGATGCTGGTCCTTAGTCACATAATTTTCAATAACAAGTTTACATTAAACATCTGGGTTTAAATTATCGTGTTTTAGATGAATGTGTTATGACATTCCATTTCCTTCTCCAGGGGAGCTTCCAGACCCCAGAATGAGACTAGTGTCTTCTGCTTCTCCTGCATTGATAGGTGGATTTTTTTACCATTGTGCCAGCTGGGTAAACTAGCCCAAACTAACAGCCAATGATTATTTCAGCCTTGCAGGTTGCCTCTTTCCCCATCCTTAGCTTTATATTCACTACTCCAGCTACTCAATATTGCTCAGTTATTTGAAAGTACATTTTCTAAAACGTCTGACTATATGCTCATGTTTTTTGTTTGCCTCAAACTCATTATCCCCTTTTCTCCACTTCAGTTTAATTTATACTTATATTCCAAATTTTAAATTATATATATCAATTCATCTGTTCAACAAGCATTTAAAGGTTAACCTTATATCAAATTTCATTGTACAGACTAAGAATAAATACATCAGTGAATAATACAAATAGAGTTCATGCTCTCCTGGATTTCACACAAAAGTGTACAAAGGAGTAAATGGTGGGGATTGTAGCAGATGAGTCTGAACCAAACTCTCATATCAGAACACATGTTAGAGAGACAATAGCCAACCTAAAGATTCAGAAGCCAACCAAAAGGCTCTCACAGCCCAAAAATAGAACAGTTTGAATATCAAAAATGTTAATACCTGCAACGGATTAAAACATCAAGTATATAAACATCTATAGCATATGATAACACTCTAAAAGAAAAAAAACAACAACAAATTTCACCTTTGGAGAATCCCACAGAAACAACTCACTATCTTGAAAATCAGAATTACTGCAAAAGATTTAAGTGTTAATTTTTCTCTTCTGTGTCAACCAGACATCAGTGTAACCTCACAGTTGATGAGGGAAAGTTTATTTTAGAAGAATTCCAGCTAATAAATGCAAAAGGAATTATATAATTAAAACATTACCATTTACAACCATTAATGAAATATAGGTCTAGGCCATAATCTCTAAGAGGCTAAGAAAACATGAGTTAAAAGGCAGATGGGAAATGTCATATGGATGGATCAGACTGACAACACCCACCCTCCCCTCTGTGATCCGTCTCAAGGACACAGGAGGAAAGACAAACAGAAATGAAGAGACTCCTGAAACAGGGCTATAGGAAGTACACCACCACATCTCAGGTACTCTTTCCACAAATCTGAATCTGAGCAAGCCTCTATATGAACAGTTATTATTAATTTAAAGGAAATAGGATGAGTCAGAAGAATAGAACCACAGCACAATAGGGACATAATCAGCATACTCCAGAATGCAGACTCCACAAGAAAAAGATCCAGCTTGATAAGTAAATAAATGGAGATTTTAAAAAGGACATCTGAATGAAAAGGGATCAAGATTTCAGAGAAATGAAGCTTAAAACCACACTGAGCTACTACCATGTATCTATAAGAATAACAAAAAGGAGAAAGATGGAAAATGTCAAATTGTCTACTTCTTAGTAACTGTGATGAATATTATCCTCTAATTTTTACAATCGCTATCTTTATATTTTTGTTAAATAAATATGGTCTGTATATGCAAAAAAAAATTGATAAATTAGGGAGAGGAGAGTACAGAATCATGAAGTGTTAAGAGTGGGGAGGGAAACCATGCTGGTGAGATGACTATCTCAGCAGAGACCTGCATGAACTAAGGTAGTGAATTACACAGTTATTTAGGGAAGCAGTTTCCAAGATGATAGAAGCACCAGAGGAAGGATGCCCTTACGTACAAGCAGGCTGTAGGAGTCTAGGAAAAGCAGCTATCAGTGTATCTGTGTCTCACTATCCTGGCATCTTCGGTCTGTCCCGGGACAGTCCACTGAGATTTTAGAGCATAATACATGCCGCCCACCCCTCCCCACCCCCATACAAACTGATGCACTTTACCTAATCACTTACGCAATCAACTGCTCGCTGTAGCATTTAAAGGGCAGAGTCCTTGACTAACTTTTTCACTTGGTACATGGTGCCAGGACAAGAAGCCTCAATATCTATTTTATCAAGGCTTCTCAGGTGGCTCAGCGGTAAAGAATCCACCTGCCAAGCTGGAGATGTGGGTTTGATCCCTGAGTCGGGAAGATCTCCTGGAGAAGGAAATGGCAACCTGCTTGAGGATTCTTGTCTCAGAAACACCATGGACAGAGGAGCCGGCTATAGTGGGCTATAGTCCATGGGGTCACAGAGTCTGACACACCTCACAGACTATACAGCATCGTATATTATCAAAAACCAAAAGTAGAAGCAGACATTCATATATAAAGACGCATATTTATGTGTATGTGTGTGTGTATATATATATATATATTTTTTTTTTTTTTTTCCCTCACCCCCTACCTTTTTGGGTTGTTTTTTTTTAATTCTTGCATTACACTCGTTTAGAATTGTATACCTGGGCTCCTGGGGCTTCGCACTGTCTGCGTCTGGCGGGCCTCGGCCTCGGCCAGGGCCTGCAGCTCATGCTCTAGGAATGGCTGCGGCAGCTGCGGCAGGGCCAGACTGCATGTCCCCCCTGCTGTCTGAGGAGGGTTCACAGCCGTGCCTGGAGGACGAGGCCGGGCCGGGGTCACAGCCCGACGGCGTGACCCCACGTCACACAGCGTCTGCGTCTCCTCGTGGGCGGAGCCCCGGCCTCTGCGCGCCCGAGCTCAGCCAGCTTGTGCACCTTGTCTGAAAAGGTGCGATTTTTAATTGTGATATATGTAAGTTTGTAACATATATTTTTGTGTGTCTTGTAACATTTAATGTGTTACATGAGCTTCCCTAGTGATTCAGAAGGTAAAGACTCTGCCTGCAATGCGGGAGTCTTGGGTTTGATCCCTGAGTTAGGACGATTCCCTGGAGGGGCATGGCAACCCACTCTAGTATTCTTGCCTGGAGAATTCCATGGACAGAGGAGCCTGGCAGCTACAGTCCATGGGATAGCAAAAAGTCGGACACGACTGAGTGACTGACACACCATGTATATACTACTTTAATGTATAAAATGTAAACATTTAAAATACATACTTGAATATATAAGTATGTATCTATCACACATATGTACACACAGGCACAGACCCTTCTGGTTCTCTCTATGGAGCCCTGAATGCCAGGTACTTTGACACTGAGAGTGGTTATGGAGAACAGAATAAGGATGGGCTTTCTGAATTGGTTCCAAGATTTCTGGAATTGGTTCTCTAGTCTGATTGGATTCAGAGGCATTCATGATTCTATTTCCAGTGGTGAAGAAGGCACTGAAAATCTGATGTGAAGCAGCAACAAAGGTAGGCAAAATATCACTGAGTACTGTCCGTCTCGTCCTTTTTTTTTTTGAAAAATACAATTTGAGGTGTTCTTCAAAATCTTCCCTTTTTCTTTTGGAAAAGTACATGCAAATATAATCTTGATTGTTTTCACTGAACTATCTTTTAAAGTTTTAAGGCCTATTTCTTTTCCATAGTATGAGTATTTTAATTTAACTTTTTACTTTGAAGTGCAAGGCACATCCAGAAAAAGATAAAAAGCATATATACATTCAATTGTAAAAGAAAGTAAGCACACTTATGTAAATATTACTTGGGTCAAGGGTATTACAGTATGTCAAATTCTTCCTTTTCTGCGCTTTCTCATTTCCACTATGCTATTCTTCCCCTAAAATAATCACCATCCTGATTGCTAACGCCTGTTTTCAGTTAAATACAAAAGGAATCATGCAGCATGTATTTTTTACACCTTGCTTCTTGGGTAAACATTATGTTTGTGAAAGGTGTTATGTTGTTATACATAGGTATAATTGATTTATTTTCATTGCTTTACAACATTCCCTTATATTAAAAGAAACAATTTGTTTATACATTATACAAATGGACATGAGACGCGTGTTTTGGGGCTATTCTGAAAATATTTCAAGTACATCCATGTGCATATCTTTGTAGAGAAAGAGTGCTGTTCTGATGGACACATTCTTATGATGAATTTTCTGGCTCATAAAATAAATGTATGTTTATCTTTAGTAGAGTATGTGAAAGTGTTTTAATGGAGATTGTACTAATTTACACTCTCAAGAGCACTCTATGAAAATTGCATCTTTTACAATACTTCATATTGTCAGTTTTCTTTTGTTTTAGCTTTTTAGTGCTTCTCTCAATTTTAGACCTTCTGGTCTTGTAAAACTTTCTCACTGTGGTTTTAATTTGCAGCATCCCTCTGTCTAATTTGCTGGATCATCGAAAAAGCAAGAGCATTCCAGAAGAACATCTTCAGTTCAGTTCAGTTCAGTTGCTCAGTCATGTCGGACTCTTTGCGACCCCGTGAATCGCAGCATGCCAGGCCTCCCTGTCCATCACAAACTCCCGGAGTTTACTCAAACTCATGCCCATCGAGTCGGTGATGCCATCCAGCCATCTCATCCTCCGTCGCCCCTTCTCCTCCTACCCCCAACCCCTCCCAGCATCAGGGTCTTTTCCAGTGAGTCAACTCTTCGCATGAGGTGGCCAAAGTATTGGAGTTTCAGCTTCAGCATCAGTCCTTCCAAAGACACCCAGGACTTATTTCCTTCAGGATGGATTGGTTGGATCTCCTTGTAGTCCAAGGGACTCTCAAGAGTCTTCTCCAACACCATGATTCAAAAGCATCAATTTTTCGGCACTCAGCTTTCTTCAGAGTCCAACTCTCACATCCATACATGACCACAAGAAAAACCATAACCTTGACCAGATGGACCTTTGTTGGCAAAGTAATGTCTCTGCTTTTTAATATGCTATCTAGGTTGGTCATAACTTTCCTTCCAAGGAGTAAGCGACTTTTAATTTCATGGCTGCAGTCACCATCTGCACTGATTTTGGAGTCCAAAAAATAAAGTCTGACACTGTTTCCACTGTCTCCCCATCTATTTCCCATGAGGTGATGGGACCAGATGCCATGATCTTAGTTTTCTGAATGTTAAGCTTTAAGCCAACTTTTTCACTCTCCTCTTTCACTTTCATCAAGAGGCGTTTTAGTTCTTCTTCACTTTCTGCCATAAGGATGGTGTCATCTGCATAGCTTAGGTTATTGATATTTCTCCCAGCAATCTTGATTCCAGCTTGTGCTTCTTCCAGCGCAGCATTTCTCATGATGTATTCTATATATAAGTTAAATAAGCAGGGTGACAATATACAGCCTTGAAGTACTCCTTTTCCTATTTGGAACCAGTTGTTGTTCCATGTCCAGTTCTAACTGTTGCTTCCTGACCTGCATACAGATTTCTCAAGAGGCAGGTTAGGTGGTCTGGTAGTCCCATCTCTTTCAGAATTTTCCACAGTTTATTGTGATCCACACAGTCGAAGGCTTTGGCGTAGTCAATAAAGCAGAAATAGATGTTTTTCTGGAACTCTTGCTTTTTCAATGATCCAGCAGATATTGGCAATTTGATCTTTGGTTCCTTTGCCTTTTCTAAAACCAGCTTGACTATCTGGAAGTTCTTGCTTCACGTATTGCTGAAGCCTGGCTTGGAGAATTTTGAGCATTACTTAACTAGCATTTAAGATGACTGCAATTGTGTGGTAGGTTGAGCATTCTTTGGAATTGCCTTTCTTAGGGATTGGAATGAAAAGTGACCTTTTCCAGTCCCATGGCCACTGCTGAGTTTTCCAAATTTTCTGGCATAGTGAGTGCAGCACTTTCACAGTATCATCTTTCAGGATTTGAAATAGCTCAACTGGGTCATATGGCAGTTCTATTTCCAGTTTTTTAAGAAATCTCCACACTGTTTTCCATAGTGGCTGTACTAATTTGCATTCCCACCAACAGTGTAAGAGGGTTCCCTTTTCTCCACACCCTCTCCAGCATTTATTGCTTGTAGACTTTTGGATAGCAGCCATCCTGACTGGTGTGTAATGGTACCTCATTGTGGTTTTGATTTGCATTTATGGAATTTAGAAAGATGGTAACGATAACCCTATGTGCAAAACAGAAAAAGAGACTCCTATGTATAGAACAGACTTGTGGACTCTGGGAGAAGGCGAGGGTGGGATGTTTCAAGAGAACAGCATTGAAACACGTATATTATCTAGGGTGAAACAGTTCACCAGCCCAGGTTGGGTGCATGAGACAAGTGCTCGGGCCTGGTGCACTGGGAAGACCCAGAGGGATTGGGTGGAGAGGGAGGTGGGAGGGGGGACCGGGATGGGGAATACATGTAAAAAAAAAAAAAAAAAGATACACTATGGTTGTGATTAAAAAAAATAAATAAATAAATTAAAAAAAAAAAAAAGAAATAGCTCAACTGGAATTCCACTAGCTTTGTTCTTAGTGATGCTTTCTAAGGCCCACTTGACTTCACATTCCAGGATGTCTGGCTCTAGGTGAGTGATCACACCATTGTGATTATGTGGGTCGTGAAGATCTTTTTTGTACAGTTCTTCTGTGTATTCTTGGCACCTCTTCTTAATATCTTCTACTTATGTTAGGTCCATACCATTTCTGTTCTTTATTGAGCCCGTTTTTGCATGAAATGTTCCCTTGGCATCTCTAATTTTCTTGAAGAGATCTCTAGTCTTTCCCATTCTGTTGTTTTCCTCTATTTCTTTGCATTGATCACTGAGGAAGGCTTTCTTATCTCTCCTTGCTATTCTTTGGAACTCTGCATTCAAATGGGAGTGTCTTTCTTTTCTCCATTGCATTTTGCTTCTCTTTGTTTCACAGCTATTTGTAAGGCCTCCTCAGACAACTTGCCTTTTTGCATTTCTTTTCCATTGGGATGGTCTTGATCCCTGTCTCCTGTACAATGTCACGAACCTCCATCCATAGTTCATCAGGCTCTCTGTCTATCAGATATAGGCCCTTAAATCTATTTCTCACTTCCACTGTATATTCATAAGGGATTTGATTTAGGTCATACCTGAATGGTCTAGTGGTTATCCCTACTTTCTTCAGTTTAAGTCTGAATTTGGAAATAAGGTGTTCATGATCTGAGCCACAGTCAGCTCCCAGTCTTGTTTTTGCTGACTATATAGAGCTTCTCCATCTTTGGCTGCAAAGAATGGTAAAGCCTCTGCCTACAATGCAGGAGACCCAGGTTCAATCCCTGGGTTGGGAAGATCTCCTGGAGAAGGCAATGGCAACCCACTCCAGTATTCTTGCCTGGAAAATCGCATGGATGGAGGAGCCTGGTAGGGCTCCATGGGGTCACAAAGAAGAACATCTACTTGTGCTTTATTGACTATGCCAAAGACTTTGACTGTGTGGATCACAATAGTGTGGAAAATTCTGAAAGAGATGGGAATACCAGACCACCTGACCTGCCTCTTAAGAAACCTGTATGCAGGTCAGGAAGCAACAGTTAGAGCTGGACATGGAACAACAGACTGATTCCAAATACGAAAAGGAGTGCATCAAGGCTATATATTGTCACCCTGCTTATTTAACTTATATGCAGACTACATCATGAGAAATGCTGGGCTGGAAGAAGCACAAGCTGGAATCAAGTTAACGAGAGAAATATCAATAACCTCAGATATGCAGATGACACCACCTTTATGGCAGAAAGTGAAGAGGAACTAAAACCTCTCGATGAAAGTGAAAGAGGAGAGTGAAAAGTTGACTTAAAACTTAACATTCAGAAAACTAAGATCATGGCATCTGGTCCCATCACCTCATGGGAAATAGATGGGGAAACATTGGAAACAGTGTCAGACTTTATATTTTTGGACT